GTCTGGCCTCTGGCATATCAAACCCAACATTGCTTTTGTCTGAAGCAAAAATAAAAGGTAAGTGATGTTCTTTTCACATCCTTTCTCTTTTTCTCTCTCTCTCCCTCCCCAGTTCCCTTTGTAACCTCAACTTGAATCCTGAAATAAGCAGTGAATGGTCTCATAAATTGTTTCACAAAGCTAATTTAACTTGTATCCTCTTTCTGGTTGTTACCCTCTGCTAGTTTGTACAGTAGATGTGGTGTAATGTGCAAGTCTTGAAGAATGTGATCGCTCCAGAAATATCAGTGCTGCCTTGAGGAGGGGATGCTTTTCCAGGCTATGGGAATGAGCTTGTGCTCAGAGAGCTGTGTTCAGTCCATGATATTTTGTAGGTAGCAGGGAGAACTGAGGCTACCTCTCAGCTTTTCATGAGCCCTCCAGTCTAGCATGGTGTATGTACTCCATCTGACCTTCCTGTGGAGCTTACCTTAAAGCTAAAATGCTTCCACTGGATGTCACTGTTGCTCTTGGAGAACACATTTAAAATATCACTTTACCTGTGGTGAAAATGACTCCTTGAAATAGAAGACTTTTAATGGTATTTCTGTCTTCTTTTGGATTAGCAGGATTGGGGTCCAGATGAACAGTGTACACCACCTTTGGGATTTTTCTGCTTTTAGGAGAATTTTTTCAGCTAAGACAGTGAATTTAATTGCACTTAGTGAGTTTTAATACATTGAATGTCTGTATTTAATTGAATACATTGGATTTATGTGTTGGTTAAAGGGAATGCTGTCTTTCTAAATACTTGTGAATTAAGTCTAGACTACATCATATTCCCTTAAAAAGCACAAAGACAAAACCCCCAAAGCAATGTGGAAATTGATTTAAAGGGACTTAAAGGTAGAGCTGAACCTACCCCCCTTGCATAACTTGGTTCTTCCCTTCCAGTGGAAAAAGGTGAGAAGAAGGGAAAAGAAGTATCTCCTCTGGATTGAATTGTAAGAATCCTACATTTTAGTAGTAGGTGTAAAATTCAGGGAGGAAGTTATTGTATCAATATATCTTCCAACTATCACAATTTAAAAAGCAAAATGCCATTTTTTTTAGTTGTCCCAGCCGGTTCACTACAGATGCACACGTGTTGTGTAGTTAAAACATTCCCCCTGCCCCCCCATCAGCACTGTAATTCCTGGCCAGAATGCTGTTTAGCCAGAACAATTTTTGTAAGAGGCTCAGTAAGAGACCTCTGGAATGAAGGCTGATTAATTTTCCCCTTCCCCCAAGTAGTTGCACTGTGCTGTCTTTAAGTGGTTGCTATAAATAAATCACTTCTGTTTTCCCTTTGTCACTGAGAGCTGTATTGTATTCAGAAACTGCTCATCTATTCTTCCTTTAATGTTCAGCTGCTCCTTGCTCTACTCCCAGGGCTTAATATGCAGATGTTGTAATAAGATATTTAATGGCAAATACATTTGTTTGGTTGTGCCAAATGAATTGCGCACTTGAACTCTGACTAAAATAAATTAAACCTCTGCAGCAGTGTCATTGTTTCTGGTGCCTGTCCCCAGCATTCAGCTGGCACTTTACCTTGCAGGTGAGTCAGATGAGAGCACAGGCATCTCTCATGATGTTCCTTGGTACTGAGACTGACACAATTCTCTATTTTTGCAATGTTTTTCTAAATCTGTTAGAATTTAAATCACCGATGGCTGGCTCAGCACATGATACAGATTGCCATTAGGAGAAGGGTGGCAGTAGTTTGGTCTGTAAGGGTTTTCTTATTCATTCTTAGGGACAGGAGCTGATTTAATCTGCTTTTACAAAATTTGAAAATGTTTTTGTCTGGGGGCAATTTGATTCTTCCTCAGCTGGGTGCACACTTCCTTTCGAGTGCATTAAGGTACTAGTAGGTACAGGTTGTAGTCTGGCTGTTAAAGGAAAGTTTCCAAACTTTCCCCTCTTTTGTTAAGCTGTGAAGTTTAACACTTCAGTTTCTCTGCGTGTTTGTGGGCAGTGACTCAAAGTTCTTCTGTAGGTGTGGGTGTTGGATACTTGGCTTTTGTACCTGCTGTGGCGGGGGGGGGGTTAGGCAGGGTGTGCTTGTTCCTAGAATTGAATATTCAAAGCCCTTGGTCAGTTGAAATTCTCTCTTGTGGCAGTCACTGTGGTGACACACTGACACAGTTTATTTACTGGCTGGCTGTGTCCCTGGTTGAGACAGATGCACTAACTCAGAACCTCAGTGCTGAAGGCTGTAGCTACAGTTATGTGGATGATGATGATGATGGGCAGTAAGGAACCTTTCAAGAAGTGATGTTTGAAATGGGACAGCCATATTTTCATGCCTCTGTTTTTAACTGTAGATGCACTTCTGTTCTTGGGGGTGCTGCCACCAGTGAGTATCTCCAGGAGCCCACATGGCCTTGCTGGAGGTAGCTTGCTTGGCTTTTTGTGGAGGTGGCCCATAGCCTGTGGGCTGAGCAATGTGGCATCTGACAGCTCTGCCCCTGGCTGCAACTTGACATGGTAAGGAACCACTTGACCCCTAAAACATCAGTGTAGGAACATCTCTGCAGCACTGCCCTTGCAAATATGCCAGACTCTTAAACTTTGTGGAGTGTAGCAAAGAGAATATCAACTCTTGAGTTCAACCCAGAAGCTTTTTATGAAAAGCTGTCTGACGTGCTATAAAGATGGAGGGAGAAGATCTGTCGGTACAGTCATTTTTCTGCTTCTGTGAGTCAGCTTGTTCTAATGGGTTTTGAAGTGGATAGCTCATCACCATTTGGGGTTTTTAAGTGCAGGTTGTATGCAGTGTTAGCTCACTCAAATTTCTGCTGTGCCACGATTGACTGGCCTGAAGTTACATCATCGAAAGAGGCTAGTCAGCCTTAAAATAGCAAGAAAATATGTTTTTTTTATGCTAGTTACCCATTGAAAAGCAGGGATTTGTGGTTTTTTCTTGGTTTTACTTTTAAATATAAGCAGCAAGTAGTAGGTTTGTAAGGCTGACTTTATCTCATCTCTGCAAGAACATATTTTAGTTGATTGAGTCAATGCACAGGTGAGCAACATGTGACTCTTGGGCTACCTGCAGCACAGGAGTGGTTGGAGTGTGGCTCCCATGCTGAGGCTGTTCAGTGTGACCTGGAGTGTGGGCTGTTTTGGCCGAGGGCCTGTAGATAATCCAAATTATTCAAGCAAGTGGGAGGAAGCAAATTAGCAGAGGCCGGTGTGGCTGGTACCACCTGATACCCAGCTGCATCCCAAGCCTGTGGTGGAGCAACAGGGATCCCTGAGGAGCAGTTGTTAGATGTATCCATTAAACCTTTCCCTTCCTTTCCTGCTCCTTATGCAAAACCAACCTTGTGATGCTTGGCTGTTTGAGGATGGTTTGGTTGCAGGGTCTGGAAGAGCGGTCGGCCCTTACCAGCAGCAAGGCATCCTCCTGGCAAAGCTACTCCTGCTGTGGCCTCTTTTCCTTTTCTCTTCCTTGCCCCCTCCAGTCTGCAGCTTCCCTAGGTAGTCACGTTTCTGCTCTTTGCTCTACTTTCTGCATATTTTGCCTGAATGTTGGGCTGAACCTCAGCCTTGGGAGCCTTTCTGTGCCCCAAATTGGTGGCTCCCAGCAGCACAACTGTTTTATGTATATTTATTTTTTAAAAATATATATAATTTTTAGGTATGCACATATATATATATATGTATATAGATATTCATAATGTACTGAACAGTTTGGGGTTTAAAGTTATGTGAGCTGGTCTAAGGTCTTGTTGCAGTTTAGTTGCACACCTGCACATATCTGTATCAAATACAGAGGTGAGCAGGTAGATCAGTACAGCACTGATGGGAAATGCATTCCTGGTATTGCATGCGAGGAGAGATGGAAGCAACTCTTCATTTCTTGCTTTGGAAATGTACATGTGGGAGAACTTTTAGAGACCATCTTCCAATCTGTCAGAATTCCTTGCTGTCTTTGCTGATTTGTGAACTTTGTGTGAGTAATAAGTGCATGGGATGGAGCTGCACCAGGCATTGGGCCATGGAGAACTACATTTCGAGTGCTATGATCTTGGCTTTAGATTCAAATCTTGTCTGTTAGTGTAAATTGAGAAACTGAAGTCTGCAGTTGCTTAACCAGTTGGCTGCCTCCTTTAGTTAAACTTCTCTGAACTACTTCTGGTGGCAATGCAGATAAACAATGCAAATAGTGTTTGTTGTAGAAGAAAGGTACCATTTTGAAAGAAAAGGAAAGAAGAATAAGTTCTTTAGCAGAGATCTATTTGTGTTTTTCAAACTTAATTTATTCTGAATGAAATATTCAAGCTTGCATAACTAAAGCTGTTGAAATTGAAACTTCAAAGTAAACTTGTTCTTATTCTCATTGAGAAGGAAAACCAGTTCAAGGTATAAATAAAATTAAAATTACTAAATCAAAACTGTTCCAATGCATATCAGATACATCTTGCTTCTGCTGAACTTAACTGCAGTACAGTGTCTTTGCAACCACCAAACATGGAGAGAAGCTTTAACTTTACTATTGGAGTGAAAATAATTGGACTTCTCTCGGGGTATCTTACTTAATTCTTGTAATTTCGATGTAGTGCTTCCATGTGCCTCCAATAAGTCTTCATTTACCTGTGGTCTGTGCCTGTGGACCACACGAGCACACCAGAGCTCTTTGCACACATAAAGCTTGAACCTTGCAGATTGCTTCAGGATTGTTATCTAAGGTTTACCTTTCCTCATCAAGGTTTGAAAACAAACACAAGCACACACAAAAAAATACCCCGAAAACAATAAAACCGCCCTCCACCTGGGACAGACAGAGAAGTCAGCAGAAGCTTTTCCTTTTCCAGCTGTGGCAAGAACAATTCCCTTTCTCCTTTGCCTGTTTTTAATAGCCTGGACTGTCCTAGCATAAACTGTCCTTTACTGTTTACCCTCCATGAAACAGAAATCCTTCTCCAGTTGTTTGCATCGCAATAGCAGATTATGTCTGTTTATTTTTCTAGCAGTCAGAAATGGATAGTGGTATTCATCATAAGAAAACAAAAACCCAGGATTCTGGTAGGAACCACGAGCAGCAAGAGATGGAGGCCAGTCTTGCGAATACCCTGGAGCATATTATGGGACAGCTGGATGTTCTGACTCAGGTATGGTTTGCTCTTTAATTTTGGAATGACAAAGGTACCTCTGACTGGAAGAATTTGGAATGTTTTGCAATAGTTTCTTTGAATAAAAATGTGACTAGTTCAAAACCTCTGCTTTTTAGTAGTATTTTGATAAATCTTTCATCATCTATTTCTCAGCTTATCTCTATCAGTTCCCTCACATTGACTTCCAGCTTAGGCTGGAACTCTTCCTTTATGTTCCTTTATGCTGCAGTGTCTTGGAGTGCTGCGTGAGCCAGCTCTGAGAGACAGTGCTATTAGCCAGGGTTTATCTAAGGTGATGCCTAAAGGAGTGCTTGGCACAACAACTCTGTTTTGGTGAATAATCTGTCTCTCTTCCCTCCCTCATTATACTGCAGTCTATAGGTAAACTCCGTTCAGATCCTGCTCCTTTTCCCCCACCCAACGTTCACCTACACAGTCCAATTTCTGCAGTACTCTCCTCCCATCAACAAGTCTGGGCCCTTCTGTGCCTCGTTGCTAGAACATGCTTTTCACCCACAGTTACAAACAACTAATCCCAACATTAACAAACAGTTCTTTCTTGGAGTCACTAAGTGATGCTTGAACAGTACCAGCCGTCAATGGTGATCATCACAGCATGTGTTTACTTAGTAAGAATTTGGGGATAGAGCTGGTTTTTGATAAACTAAATAACTGCTCATTGCTCCTGTGAAGAAATACTGTTTCTGATTATTGTCTGGCCCTGAATTTCATTGTGTGTTTTTGAGGTATGTGACAAGCATGGGATAGTAAACATTGGTGATCTCCTGTAGCTGAGACCGTGGTGGTAGGATGGAAAAATCTGTGTGGGAGGGTTTGTCTGTGGGTTTAAATGTTGTTTCTGAGAAAGAACAAGCAGGTCTTGAACACTTGGTATTGAACATACTGATTACTAGTTAAAGATAGCTCTTTGCTCTTGAGAGAGTTAACTTGTCAAAGTACTTGTCAAAAAGTGCAAGATGATGGGTTAGAGGGCCCATCAGGGGATTGAAGGCTGATTTAGGGATTAAAAAACATGCCAGGACGACAGGCAGTCTAAAATAGTGTAGGATGAAACCCAAAAGGTATTTAAGTTCACTTGGCAGAAATGCAAGAAAGCACTTTTCCTGTGATCTTTAAAACGCTGAACGCTGGAGGAGGGGAGGGAAATCTCTGACACCAGGCCCTCATACTTGTGAGTAAAAAGCAGCCCAGTGTATACACAAAATATTTTATTACTGTTTTTACGTCTCCCTAGTAAGTTTGGAATGTGATTGTTATCTTTCATTACATAAATCAGATCCACATTTCTGATGATGGATGTGTAATGGCTCCTTTTCAAGTTCATAGGTGTTTAGAGGAGGCAAATATTGCAGTAAACAGAACGTGTGGGATTTAACCTAAATATAAGCAATGCAAATATCTGTCGAAGATATTGTGTAACCGTAGAAAATTCTAAATGTTGTTTAAACCTAGCAGAAAGAGAAACTGAGATCAGTGGGGGAGGAATAAATTAGTAAGTTTAGGATAAAATTGGAAATACCCCTGAAATAGTAAAAAACCAAAAAGCTGCCTTGAGTAACTCTGCATTCTGCAACCTTTTACCTTTTTTGTAGCTTTTTTGCCATCTTTGAAGTCCTTAATTTCTCATTGGTTCTAATCTGTGTATGTTGTGTTTTGTATTGACACCATTTTAATGCATTTGTACAGGTACATGTTCGTGACACACCGTTGAAGTGGCTTCCTAATTTTTCATTTTCATGCCAAGGTTTTGATATTTAGCAGCAAAACAAACGAACACCAAACAAGCTTAAGCAAATGAGCCCGGAAGAAATCCTTGTTCCTGGACTAAGGGAGGAGGTTCCTCAAAGAGCAGGGATTGTCTTTGTTCTTGTCATAGTTTTCAACACTGCGTTACCATGATATAATGTACCAGTGGGGGAAGGTTAAAGTTGTGAAAAACTACTTTGGGAAATTATGCAAATATAGGCCTAATTTATTTTCCTAATATTTTTTTCAGTAGTTGTCATTTCAAGGCTTAAACATGGTATCATGTAAGAGTGGGAAGGAGAGAAAATACTTTCAATTTCTGCTGAAAGGGGTGATAGTAAGACATCAGGCTGTCATCTCTTGCCAGCACGCAGCTTTGTTCTCTGCTGCACACTTGAAGATGCATCATCTGCCACTCACAATTATTAGTACCTTCCCTGTGCTGATTTACAGATGAAATGAGGTGTTAAGTACTTGGATCCAGTGGGATTTTTTTTTTTTATTCAATTAAAAGATCTCTTCCAGCCAGTCACCAATCACTGAGGCTGTAGAGGAGTTGTGCCACACACAGCAGACTTGCTCCATCGGTTTGGCACCTCAGTTCTTACCAGAGGGAGATGAACCAGGAGAATCTGGTGGCTGTTGTATATCCCAACTAGCAGTAACCACTATAGTGAGTAGATTTACAAAGCTTCATTCTTACATTGTTGATTTTGTGCTAGGATTTAATTCTTTAAGGTTTTGGCAACTTTCAACTGGTCTTTGATTCAATGAAGCCTTTTCCTCTTCCTCCTTCCCAAAACCCTGTCAGGGCATCTTACTTGTAAGGGAGTGGTTTAATGTGACCTGACAGGGTCTTTGTATTTTTTCCTAAAAGTGGTTTGTGTTTGACCATACTTCACATGCAAATAATGTTTTACTGCCTTTTTTCAGAAGAGTAGCACGTGCTTAATAATTCTGTTGCCTTGAAGAGAGGAGTGAAGTTGAGGCCTTGACATAAGTCAGTTGTTTCCAGTAGTTTTGGATTGCTTAGATACCCTGGTTCCCCTTTGTAGGGAAGCAAGCAATTCACATCTGGCAAAGGAATGAGGAAGATGACAGTAATAAATGTATGATACAGATGATTTGCTCCTCCCTTTCCTGCAGTTTAGTATCTTGTCAGTGTCTCAGTGTTTAAAAATCCTTTACTGGCATTTCAGAGACATGAGAAGTAGGAAAATGCAGACTGTTTATCAATTAATTTTTTTAGTGAAGGATGGATCTCGGTATCTCAGTGCCTATATGAAGAGATGTGGTGAATATTAAAGTTTAAGGGGAAAACAAGGTGATTTTCTCTCTTGGATAACTTCCTAGAACAGAATGGTGTGTTTTGGCTGAAAAAAAATGAAGCAGATCTTAAAGGTTTACTTGGTTCCAATGCATTTTCTGCACTTAGAGCTGAACTGCCCTTCTGAAAGATCATCTGTGAGTAACCATGTTGGCTGCAGTGGAAAACTTGCATTTGCAATGATCATCTTCAAAGAATTTATATATTCTTGTCCTCACTTCAAACACCTCCAGCTGCTGTGTTCACTCTGTTGATCTGGTGGGCAGCAGGCACTGAGGCAAAAGCTGCTGGTTTTATGTGGGAAGGGAGATATCTTCTCCAAACGGAGAGTTCAGAACCAGGTTAGCATAAAAATTCATAAATAGCTGCGATAATCCACCCACAGGAAATGGCTTTATATGCTTCCCCAAACTAATCTTGCGTTGAAGCTGGGAGAAAACAACGCAGTGAAATGGAGAAGACTTGATAAATCTGTAAAATAATCCAAAGCCTGAACCGAAGGACAGTCTAGCTCATGTGAGATTAAAGGATTATTGCACTCCAGAAAAGACTGCAGGCAGAGGGGGGGAGAAAAATTGTTTTAAATGAGGGTTTTTTAGCATGAAAAAGACTGGGACTTAAGTGAGTTGCTTTTTAATTAAAACTGGAAATGTTTGTGTGTAAGCACATTACAAGCAGCGCTTGTAATGAAAGTGAGTAAAATCAAATTTTTATTCCTTTTTTTGAGATGTGGCCTCCATAGCTTGTGTTGGTGAGGAATGAATGTGGCCCCTCTCTTCTGAGAGGCATTGACTGTAAATTAAGCAACTGCTTTAGTAAAATATATGCTTTTGTGACTTCAAGTAGTTACAAGTCAAGAAGAAAGATGGGGGGGGGGCGTTTCATAAGTGCTTCTACTTTTGCTTTGCACAAATGTCTTGGTTTCTGTGTTGCTCTCAAGACCTGAACACCCATGGATTATAGGTGAACCCAATACACAGGAGAAAAACTGCAGGGAGTTTTTATTCCAAAAGAAAAGGTTTGAAACATTAAAAAAAAAGTTCCCATCTGAAAAACCCGTGAAATGTTAAATGAGCTTGCTTTTTAAATCTTAATTTAGAGGACAGAGAGGCTATTTCTTATGAGTCAGACCCATCTCTTGGATATTCAGTAGCTTTGATCTCTCACTCAGAACAAATGAAGTGCCCTGCTTGTTGCCAGTCCTCTGTGTAATTCAGCAGAGCTCCTTTTATTTTTGTGAAATATACTTCCTAAATATACTTGTTATAAAATCTTGATGCAAATACATTTTTCTTGTTCCTTAGACTGCCTAAATTAAAGTGCACTCCTAGGGATATTTCTGTATTAGCAGAACAATGTCTGAAGGCTGGCTTTTCAGAAGTGATCATTTCCCTGGATGTTCACAGGACCTTCACCTTCCATTTTCCTTCAATGGGAAAGAACACTAAACACCTCCCACAATTTGTTTTCACAAGCAGACTTTGAAGATTAATATAAATTGTTATTCAGCCATTGGATACCGGCAGCTGGGTTCATTTAGGTGAGTGATTTGCATTCTTTCAGAGGCAGGGGACGGATATGGGAAGGCTTTGAAGTCTTTGTGGTTGGGGAAGACCTTTAGTCATTTGGGGTTCTAACCTCTGTATTGAGCAGTTGCTGTCATGGAACATGCCTGGATGTTTTGATGTAGCTCATCATAACTCGCTGTGTTTTATACTGGGGTGCAACTGGAAGTCTCCTGACTCCTTTTGCTGTGCTGGTCTAGCCCCAGAGGTCTGGGAGCTCTGCACCAAGGAAGCTGCCCAGAAGCCATCAGCCATTCCCTTCCAGAAACTTGCAGGATCTGATGCAAGTGCCACCAGTTTAGCTTTGGCTGATCGACTGTCAAGACTAAAGCAACAGC